ACTCACATTACACATATACCAATCAAATATTGCTGTAAATTAACTCTCCTGTCAACAATAACTTGACATGTCATTTTTGTGTCTCTTTGTATGAACAGATCATGCCCTGCTCATATTTGGTTTGCGAGCAGCTGTGGTGATTCTTATATTGAGTGGGAGCGCCGTCTATTTTGTCTGGAAGAAGAAGAAATACGAGGAAGCTAAAGGCTCTGCCGTCCCTCGAAAGAGGGAACATCAAGAGAACTCTGTTTTGATGGTTGAAATAAGAAGTTCTGCATCTGAACTTTAACTTTCTGGAACCAGCACCTTATATCCTCCCCTCAACTGCTGTGATTGGTCATGTGTCTTTATGGATGTGAAAATAGGGTGTAGAATAGAAACTATCTTCTGTTTTCATATTTTTTAATTTCACTTCTTAGCAGCTCACTATGAATAAGTTCCTATAGAAAGGTCTGTGAGTGTTTTCTGCATTTGTATCAGGAACCTTTTTACTTGGTCACTTCACTGGTTGTTGACTTGGTGAAAGTTTACATATTTACTTAATGTGGAAAGACTGTCTTGTTGTAAAGTTTCAGTGCACTGCTGCATTTGGAGAGTGATAAATCATCTGGAGGCTCACAGCAGTTTATCCTGAAGTCAAGAGTCATATTGTGAATAAAGCTTATATTGTTATATTAATAGTGCAACTCATTTCAATGCCATTTGGGAATTATTGTACTATAGATTTCCACATCATCGTCTATTGAAACTAATAAAATCATGTGTGCCTCCCGTAAGTTTAGGTAAATACCTTTTTGTTGATATTTTGATTATGAACTCTACCTTTAATGACTGTTGAGTATTAAATAAAACTTCCACAGTCATCATCAGTATTAATATGTGTGAGGTTTTCCTTTACTTATTTACAGAGGAGTTACTGTTGTTTATGTATAATCCTGTATTCAATGAAACTCTCTGTTGAGAAACATTTCAAGAAGAATAATGATCAATAAATATTATCATACAGCTGTTACTGCATTAAGAGGCTTTATTTGTGATTTTCCTCATTAGATATTGAGTGTAAAATTTACCTGTTTATTGCAAGTTTTGTTTCATTGCAAGTACAATGTCTTTTAATATTTTATGGCAACAGTTGCCAGTTTAAGGTAAAGCAGACCTGGTAAATCAATCAACAGACACGAGAGAAAGGAGAGGTAGAGACATGAGGAATTATACAGATGAGCTTCAAACCAGTAACATTACAGAGAAATATATCATACTGTTCACTACTGTATCTAGAGGCTGACATGATGTAAACATATAACACTGCAATCATTATTATTGATCATTAAGCTGTCAAAATCACTTGATAACAACTCAAATTCATGCTCACTACATTGACTCAACAATGTATATAGTATAGTAAATCATATTTCATCTACTTTTAGCTTTATAGTTGAACTGAGAACACAAAATTTCAGGTTGTGAATTTTGATTAACCTGAACTTATCATTAATGTTGTAATGCTTAAATTTTCAGAAATGATGACATGAAGATATGGCATGTGTTTTTTTTTATTAAGTACTTTGTTAATGTTGGAGTATGGTCATCTTATAAATATCAGTTGTCAGTTTCAAATCCTCTTTTAGTATGAGGGAGGAATGTTTTTATCTCTTCCAGTCAGTCCATCCTAACATTGTGGCTCTCTCCTTCTGGGCTAAAAGGGAAGTAAAACTAAAATTGCTTAATTTTTCTCCTCTCCTCTCTAAGGTTGATCACTTTAAGGACACATTTTCTCAGTGTAGGATGTGCATGTTTGCTTTTAAGTAGAAAGGTTTGTCTGGAAGCTGCTGACTGGATCAAAACACTGAGGAGATATGGAAGCTGTGATTGGACTGTTGCTGATGCTACTTGGAGTCTCTGATGGTGAGCTGTATAACTTGTTTAATCTGACATATTGTATAGTCTGGCATCATGTTCAGTGATATGTTTTACAGATTAAACACTGACACACACTGGAACCAAATTTATACAAGACACATAAATAAATTAAATACAATTAAATATCTTTGGTGTATAATTGATGGCTTGTGTTTAACCACTATTTATGTATGAAATTGTAACCAAGCAATTGAGAGGCCCAAAAGCTCAAAATCTATTTTATTCTCACTCAGGAGGACTGCAAACTCAGTTATAAACGTGGAATCATAATCTCAGTAAGAATGAAAACATGCTGTTACACCATAAATAAATGTCCTTTGATATGTAAAGGCTTTTCTACGAGTTGGGAATGAAAAAATTATATGTGCATTTAAAAAAGGTAATTTTTGCTGAAATTCCGTTTAAAGTAACAAAGAAATACCCTTTATAACATTGTACAGACACTTCATTGCAGGGACACATTGCTTACCTTCACAGGAAACACTGAATACTATTTCGTTCAGTCAGTCAATTACAGCAGGGTGGTATAATGGTTCCTCTTTTTTAACCTTGTTGTGTGTAATTCTGACAAAAGACAAAATAATACATTTCTGACTACAGAATGGTCTTATCAAATATGTAGGGGCATTTTCCTCTGGCACTTTATTTTAAGCCCACAAACTGGTTGTAAACAAAATTAGAAATTCTTACAAATTGATGACCATATAATAAAGTGTTAAAGCTGAGCCTGATACATAAATAACATCTTAATGTCCCCAATATAAATGAGGAACTGATTTGACCAGTTGGCATATTCTGTTTCTGTACCATGTTGTGAATAACAGAAGATGCATTACTCTGATGTCTGAGGATGTCGTCTGAGGTTTGACTCTTTGAAGCAGTTCAGTATTGAAACAGATAAAGATAACATGAGACCTGATGATAATGATGATGATGTTGATTATGGCCACTATGTTAAAGTGATTTCATACATGTTTCCATATAAGTGAATACAAGAATCCTGGGTATGGAACAAAATATTACCTAGTAAGTAAGTAAAGTAAATTTAATTTATACAAGCACATTTAAACACAGTAATAAACTGACCAACAGTGGCTTGTACAGTGGATGACTAAAAAAGGCAATAATACAGAAACACATTGGTAAATAACTAAAAAGACAAATAAAACAGAAAAAACACATTGGACCAATAGTCAATAATTCATACCTGATGATAGTTTAAGGACTGAAAGCATCGTCAGTAAAGTTGTTTTAGTTTTTGATCTCGAACACATGTCTAAAACCCTTTCTGGTTTGCAAAATCTTTGTAGTAGATGCTGTGTCACTTTAAAGTGAAAATTGATGTTAGATCACAATTTTTGAGCATTCAATCTGCATTCATCTTTTCTCTTTCTGTCGAGTGCACGAGTAAGAGTTTACTTGTTTCACTTTTTGAGTTACTTGGATATATTGACTTTTAGTGTCAGCAATAAGTCCTGACATACTAACAGACATACATCAGGGCTCGAACAGCAACACGTAACAAAGTCAGTTCAGTAAACTTTGTAACAGTCTGCTCTTTCTTTTCCTGAAGAGGGCTTCAGTTTTGTGAGTCTAGTCCTGTTTTTTATTGATTTGGATCCCAAGGTAAATGTATGAGTTCCACCTCTTCACTTCAACTCCTTTGACAACCAGGACAGGAGACCTGCTGTTCTTCTTGTAGTCCACCACAAGCTTATTGGTTTTGCTGAGCCTCAGTTGCACCATATGATGACGCTCCTTATCTGTTCTCTGTACTCCCTTTAAAAATAGTAAGTGTAGACAGAATGTTGTCCTTAGTACCTTTTTAACTTTCTCATTTAAGTTTCAATGAAACATTGTTCCAGTAGATCTTCCACTCAATTTTTATTTTTTATTTTTTTGAGGATTTAGCTCTTAATTATTTCTAGCTTTGTCAGTACAGCATGAAACACATGAACACAGGTTCATACAAATACTTACATCCCTGACAAATATATTTCTTATTCTTTTTTTGTTTTTACAGAACTTACTCTCCACACATACATGCAAAAAACCAAAACAAAAAAAACAAACTAAATAAAAAACTGAAGGTTTACACAGTCATAGTACCAAGGGGAATCAAACACAGCAATACCCTGACAGCACATCAAGACCTAGGAATGTACCCTGAAACCTCCATCGTCTCCAATATATTCTAGAAAGGGGTCCCAAATGGTTTATCATTAAGCCAGAAAC